ATATATATATCTTTGATCACACAGATTAAAGAATATTTCTTTTTATAAATATATGTATTGAATATATGGAAAGACTTCAAGGCTTCGCTTCGTAAATTATCGTAGCTATATTAAACGAAACTAATTTCATTAAGAGCAGTCACCACGCGGTGACGCAACCTAACAGACTCCTTCCGTTACGTTCCGTGAACGTTTTATCCGTTTGTGCCTTATTGATCTCGGCAAGATCTGCCGCATTATTACGCACACGCGTTTTGGACGAGCCAACAATAACGGAACACAATTACACGACGTTCACCCAGGACGCAGGGTTTGAATTCGCTTTTAATGCGCGCTCACTAATTGGCCGCAGGTGTGCACCTGAGCAAGGTCCCCGAAGAGAAACCACGTTGGAAATGTGCGGTATAAGTGCATAAGCTGGACGGCGGAGTGTTTAACGAAACGACGATCATTTTGTAAAAGCAGCGAGTTGTTCTTGTTGTAGTACGGCTGAAAAAAGCGTAGAAAAAAAAAAAAACTTTATTTTATAATATTTAATTTTAACCGCACGGAGGGAACTTTTTATCCATAAAATAAATACATCTTCCAAAGTTAAAAGATGATCGCGGCTAGACACCGGGAATGAATCATTTATTTTCCATATTACCTGTATTTTTGGTGTTTTTTTGTGAGAATTTTAGCTGAAATAAATCGGAGCCCAATAGATTTCATTGAAGGTGAATCTGAGCTGGTGTCTGGATTTAATATTGAGTATTTTAGAGGTAGATTTGCTTTAATTTTTATAGCAGAGTATGGAATAATTATTTTTTTTTAGGTATTTATGTTCATCGATGTATACTAATTTGGAGGGTGTTTATATATTTATTTTTATTGGTTTAATGATAAGATTGATTATTTTTATACGAGGGTTATTACCTCGATATGATGAGTTGATATATTTGTGTTGAAAAATTATTTCAATCATTGTTGTGATCGAATAGTAACGAAAGGCCGGATAAATATACATCATATTTATTTACCTGCGAAAATTAAATCTCACATTATTTTGCAGGCTAGCGGAAGAAAAGGAACGCGTAGATTACTCCGTAAGTAAACTCTTTACTCGAAGTAAACAGTTACTCATCGATCTATCTGTCGCAAGAGTCGGGTCCCCCGAAGTTACGGCGTAAAGTCGCGCGGGGTGCATCCTATAAATGCTCAGACCGCGGCTCTGGCCAACGTGGTCGTTTTCCGTCTCGCGTGTAATCCGGTCCTTTGTAGGTTGGCCCTGGCGCGCTTCGCTTCGCTTGATTATTAATTATTATTGGAAGGCAAATGTAGCGTGACCGTTGTTGCGCGTTGTAGGCGACGATCGATAATTCATCGGCACGACGAGGCCGCGCCGCGCCGCGCCGCGCCGCGCACCCGAGGAGGATTAATTCGGGCAACGAGAGCTCCTCTGCCTCTCATCATCGGTCTTCATCGATGCTCGTCGTCGATTTTCCCTCGGAGCGTCGAACCCCTCCCCTCCTCTCGTATTTATAAACTTTTCGCCGTTGGAAGCGCTCGCCGCGGCTAGTCGGCGGAAAAGCGGCGACGCGGACGCTCGCCGGTGTTCCGAAGAAACTTCCTTGAGGGATATTGACGTCGGGAGCGTTTCTCCGCGTTGGCAGGACGATGAAAACTTCGTAATTTCGGACGTGTTCCAGTTTGCCCAGTTGATGACTTTAGCCGAGCCATTTCGCGATCCTTTGCAGACGCGCTCACGCTCTCGGGGACTGTTACGCGTCCCCGAGAAGTTTTCCTACTCGACCGGTTATTAATAGGAGAAATATACGGTTCTGTCGTGGAGAACAATTTCGCGATTGCTCCCGATTGCACCGTCTGCTTTGATTGGGAGCGTTTTCAACAATTCCAGGAAAAAACACCGCATATCTATAAATCTTAAAAAAAAAATAAAAATCTCTTCAAATGTACGCTGCATTTTTTAAATATATTTTGGACAATGTATCTCGTGTATCTTTTTACAAATATTATAATACTTTTCTCTCTTTTTTTTGACATTATAAACTTATAGAAAAAAGTCATTAATTGCACGGACTCATGTGTGAATTATCATGTTAAATATTTTTTTTCAAAATACATCTTTGCCGAAATCACGTTTCGGATTTAGTGTATCTGTAATTTTTCTATATTTTTTTAAACGTATCTCGAAACAGAGAATGTAATAGTTAAACGTAATTTTTGAAAACTTTCGCGCAATATTTATTTTAGTAGAATGAAAAATTGCTGGGGTTTATCGGATCGTTGAGTGGACTTAATAAAAATCCGCCGCTATTCGTCGCTGCATTAAAGACGGGCGATATAAGAAATCGCTCGGAGGGCATCTCGCTCGGAGGTCTCCGATAAATTGCGAGCTCAATAGTTCTCGCGGCACATTTTCTCGAGTTTTCTCCAGGCTCGTGTCCGAGAGGGGGGGTAGAGCGAGACCGAGTGGAAGTGGGAGGGAGCGAGAGCTCGTCCGGCGAGTTAAAGTTATCGTTTTCATAACTCTTCGCGCTCAAAGAGGGTGAACCCGGCCGATGAAAATATGCCGCTGTTACGGGAGGATTAGCGGGGATTAGCCGGGAGATTTAGAGTCATCTGGGGCTGGGCGCGCGCTAAATGTCTAATCCGGAAATATGATTGTGTCTTTGCTCCAGAATGCCAGCAGGATGCAGGGAGACGGAACGACGGAATTCTCGGCGGATAATCTCCGCGCCCCTGCACTAAATATCACTTTGCAATGTTGTCTTACATTACATAAAACGGATTGTGGGTCCCCGCTCTTTTGATTTGCTTCAGGCCAGATATGAAAGAAATGCATCATAACGGCGCTCGTATTGAGTCCGTGATGGCAGTTTTATCGCAACGTGACTTTGCGATTATCCCATAATCGTGTCATCGCTGAACTTCTTTCAACAATTGCCTGACACTTATTTTATAGAATTTTTTAAACACTTTCTTATTAACATGAATGTATCGAACAGAATAGAATATTAATATATTTTTATAATAAATTTTTTTCTTCAAGGAATTTTTTTAATTATTATCGAAGCAATATAAAAAAGCAGATTTATGACATTGCTGCATTATTATTTTTCTGTTTATTAATTCTTTAATAAACTTGCTGCGATATTAGTTTTCATATCATCTGCCTCTTAAAAGACAAACTCATCAATAACTGCTGCTTTGCATATTAATGAAAGAATTCTTTGATGTAAAATAACACGCCGCTTGCAAAGGCTTTTAAAGCCGACTGTCATAGGAAGGCAAGTTAGAGGAATAAAGAAACAAGAGCAAATAAATATATTAAAAAAAAAAATTTTGAGTAAAATAATGAATTAATATTCCAAACATAACTTTTTATAGGCGTTCATATAGGCGTTCATATTCATAATATATTTTTTCAGATTTGTTAAAAATTTCATTTTAACTTTAAAACTTTTTTTTGTCACACAGTAATCGTAATTATATTTTGGCAAAACAAAAATATGAAAACACAAAATAATGCATTGTATGGTATACCATACTATATTATCGCAAACTGATACTACCATGTATGGCAGATCGTTTGGGTGTAAAGGATGCGATACGTAATATCTGATATCCTAACGGATATTCCCGGTCTGTGTGTGTGATTCAGGTATGCGGAAACAACGAACGATATAATTCTGCTACACCGCTTCACTATTAGTTTACGATCCCCAAGGGCGCACGAAAGGTTGGTCGCGATGTTTATAGGGCCCTGTAACAGGGAGCCGCGGTAACATAGAACCCTCTTCAGGCCTTCTACTCTACCGGCGAAAAGTTATAATTGCTGTATGTTAACTCGACGACTGGAATGGTGACCGCGTTTTGCACGCCACGTCCATTACATTTTTATCACTTTTCTTCACCTACGAGACTGCGAAATCAAAAAGTCTGCTTTGGAAGCGAGATAACTTCTCAACAAACAACCCGGCATTAAATAACAAAACTAAAGCAACTACAATCTAAAGTGGAACATTTTGTAATTTTCATAGGAGTGATATAGTAAGCGACAGCATAAAGATTAATATATTTACTTGAAATCCATTAATTTATAAGAAACGATATTTTTCCTCTGGAAGCTTTATTTATTAAAATTTCCGAACCCGATCGGAGAATATTAATCTTCATCGATTCTGCGATTCTTCGAACTCTTTAGAAAAATACAGCTTTTATAAATTGCAGTACTTTAATGCCGTAAATATATTTTACAAATTACAGTATCATATAATCAATAATAGTCGCATATTTTCTTAATAACCGTTACTCCGACAGCCTGGAAAATGCGCATAGGTTTGTCATAAATCATAAATGCCCGAGCCCACCACAGGGCTTAATAAGTCGGCGTATCGACGCGGTTTCCCTCTCTTGCTGTATTCTACGTCCTCTGGTTTCCTCCGGACTCAGAAAGGGCTTTCCCAACTACTCCCCGAAGACTATAGATTATTGCAACTTCTGACGCGCAAAGGATGGAATTAAAAACTTGTCCCGCCGACTCCTGTCGGGAATTATCTGTGGCTGACGGATAAGGATTTAATTGGCTTTGTGTGACGAAGTTTTAATGAATGTACGCGACGCGTCTCGGTATATTAATACTTTATTGGTGTGTGAATGCTCTCGCTGTCGTCGCTTCTCGTTGTTTAACATAGTACTGTTGCAGACGGCGCAGCCACGCTGTCCAGTATTGCTGCAGAGTATCATCGGACACATCGTGCACTGTTGCTGGTGCGCCATTTGTGTACACAATTACGAGTAATCCGCGTTTTATCTTTAAGAAATCAAGAAATACAACCATTTCAAGAAAGTGACTATCCTTATTCAATTATACTTTTAGAGAATATAATAGCAAGTGTTTTTATTAAATGTGTAATGTATGGTGAGAAAATTATAGCGAATAAATAATAAATTTAAAAGCGGTGAATTAATTTCTACATGATGAAATACAAATCTTTTTGTTATTGCTTTAAAAAAAAATTGCTTTAAAAGATTTTTTTTTAAATAAAACATTTACCTCAAAGGGATATAGATTCGAAGCATTGATAGCTCCGATGTATGCGGCGAGTTGTACAGGTGCGTCGTATGTGTACTTCAAGTTCAATTTTTGTCTGTCTGAATTTTTCCAATCAATTACATAATTATGGTCCCTGTAGATTTATGTAATGTGTATAAGATCATACTGAATATTTGTAGAATAACTTTAAACTTTATTACTGAAAAAGAATCAGCAGATAAAGTTTAAAATTATCCTACATGTACAAAGCGTGTGTGGACGCGCGCACACACGCACGCACGCACGCACGCACGCATGCACGCACGCACGCACGCACGCACGCACGCACGCACACGCGTGCACCCCCTTCCTACACACACATACACTATCTAATGAATTTAAGGAAACTCTATTTTTATAAATGTGAATTAGAAGTAAATAAGACGATTTAATGAAGCATGAATAATTCTTGGATATATTGTAGGAACAATAAATAATTTAACAGACTATAGCCAAAATAATCTAATAATGTTATTAATACTTGTGGAATTATTTCAATTAAAAACTTTAGAAAATTATATTATTAGATTATTACTATTATTAATTAGATTAGATTACTATTAGAAAATAAATTATATATCGATATATAAACATAAGCTTTTGTTTTATTCCTTCTTTATATTAAAAATTTATATCTCACATTTACGAGTTTCAAAAAAGATAATAATTTCAATCATTTATAAAATTTTAAAATGTAAAGTTTTCATGTAGCAAGTAAATTACAAATATGCAAGAAAGTATCAATACAAGAGCCTTAGTTAAGTACCTTAGTACAAAATTATTTTACTCTTCACATCTGATTAAAAATTATATATTATGTATTTATTTTATATAAAATATAAATTATATCTTTTTTAAATTATGAAATATAAAAATATTTAAGGAACAGATAGTGACCTCTGCTCTTGCTAATTTAGAAATAAAGTTTCCTTCGGATGGCAAAGCAAACTCTCTGTTTTACCTATAACGAGCTATACAGTCGACTACACCTTTGTAACATAATTTCGTGTGAGCCACATGCGTTTCGATTGCTTTCACATAGCATATATCTTTCAATATATATTGAACGCTCTTAAAAGCAGATTCAATTCTCGGAGGAATCTCATATTCTTTTCCAAGCAAGCTTTCAGCTATGCATGAATGCAGTAACTTTCCCTCCTCTAATAATACTGTATCAGGAACACAAATAAATTTGTTTATTAAACTTATAAAAACTTCTCTTTCATGGAAAAGCTTATTAAGTACCTTTCTGATATGCCGTGAATCCTTTTTCCCCGAGCTTTTCTATCATTCTTTGCTTCCATACTTGTAGAGCCAACTCTGACTCTGATGACATGGTTTGCGCAAGGACATTTGTTACACTGGGAAATCTTATCGTTTCTGGATCATCTCTCCCAGATATAGATAATATTTTTGTTGATTCTATAGAAGAATTTGTTGATTCTATAAAATCTTTTTTGCTGCTCATAATTGGAAAAGATAACAAATTCTTTACAATAATGTCTGGCAATGTCTCACAGTTAGGTCTATCATATTTTCTAGCTATGTCGTCAGATCTATTTGAATTAAGTGACGATGCAGTTTTTTGATTGCAGTTATCTTTTGTGACTACTGACAAATTAGAAGTTGTATTAATAAATCCAAGATCTGTTTTTTCAGTATTATGATTCGATTCAGAATAAATAAGATTTTTTGTATCTTGTCGAGTTGAATTTTTAATTTCCGTCTTACTAAATCTCTTTAGAGACTTCTGATCTTTATCATTTACTTGTTTATTTTGCAACTTTGTAGTCACAATTAGTCTTTGGAGTTTGTTGTTAGAGTATTTTTTAACCCATAACAATTCTGCATCTTCTGTATCTTTCATACTTGATTCTTGATGGACTATCTTCTTTTTTTCTTCTAACTTTTGTTTCTTTTTTCTTTGCTTTTTTGTTTCGATTAATGGACCAAATAGTGATTTAGAATCTCTCATTAACTTTTTGATTCTATCAGCTCTTGAGATATGCCTTTTAAAAAATGGTTGGCGCATACTTTGTACATTAAAAGATATATATAGAACATATTTGGAAGTAATCAACATAATTGTAGTTTTGCAGGTTATAGTCTGTACTTTACATATACTTAATTTCAGTGATCTATATTAATAAATAATTAAATATGTTATAAGTATACATATAATTAGTAATATCATGTTTTTCTTTTAAATTTATGTTGAATAAATTAAAAATTATATATATATCCATAAAATAAACTATCAAATTTAACTATATTGAATTATCTATAAATCATTGTTTTACAAAAAATTGTTTCAAACAAAAATTAAAATTATTTACATAAATATAAAAAATTATACACAAATAAAAATAAATAAATATAGAGAAATATATCCATAATATATTGTGTATAATTTTGTAGGGAGATAACAGTGTGATATTTTATTAAAGTATTTTATATAAATACAGAGTTATCTCTTAATTACAATAAAATCTAAGTAAAACTCTTACCGGCAAAAAGCTTGTATTGTCTTTTATCCTTTGTTAATATTATGCACTATAACATGATTTATCTATAAGAAAATTAAATAGCTATAAACGCAATAATATATAAGGAAAGCTGTTAAAATTAATTCAGTTTAATTTATTAATTATACAAAATAATGCATTCACAGCCAATCTTCACGATTGTAATAAAAACCAATGAAAGAGGTTATGTACACGTGATATCCCCCCTTCCGTCGATAACAGATTCCTATTGCCATCTAGTGTGAATTTTCTATATTTTCTTGTTTTGTTACCAACATTTGATATGAATCTCAATTTTCGTATTTTCATTTTGAGAAATTATTCTAATTTTATATTTAATTTATTCTTATAAATATAGAAATCTTTTAAAGTTTTTATAAAGATAAATTTTAATAGAATCGTTCAATAATAATAATTTTATTCATCTGTTATATTAAATATATTTAAATACTAATTAATCAATTAAGAAATTATTTTTTTTTATAAATATTTAATACAATAAGTTATAAGTTATTTTAAAAATTTTATTAATGCTTCACCTTTTTTGATAATATAATAATTATATCTTAATATATAAATTATTTGTAAGTTTTTTTATATTATTCTCTTAAATTTTTCAGTCTAATATATTGCTATTGTTTTATCATTTTTATTATTACAATATATAATTATATTTAACATAATTATTAATTAATATAATTATTAATATATTTATTAATTAATAATTATATTTAATATAATATTTATTAATAATTAATAATTTCAAAAATAAAAATTTGATAAGAATTGAATGTAATTGATAAAATATAATGCAAAATAATAAGATAATTTTTCAAAGAAAGTTTAAAGAGAATTTGCAATTTGGTTGTTAACTTGTTATATCGCAATCTGAACATCAGAAGGCCAGAAGATTGCGTCAATTACGCACATTAGCACAATAATAGTGAATAAATCACTCGGTTAATTTTGCTGAATGAAAAATTCCGTATTTTGTACTATCTGACCATGTGTGCCGTTTTATATCCGTTAATTAAATCTAATTTTACACAAGTATTTTACGGATAGTAATAAAATTCATTGATATACTACTATCAACCATCGCACTTATACTGTTCCCGACTGTTTTCACATTATCGGTATTCGTGCGATCAGTATTATGAGCTCATTTCGCAATAAGAATTTGCAAAGCGGAGATTGAAACAGCCGTTCGGCCGTACGTTTTATTTTATTGCCTCGAATCGTGTGCTGTTTAAGAGAAGTTTCAGTTTTACGCCACTTTTTATTAATATTAAATTCTTGTATTCTCTAAGAAAATCTCTGTTTTTACCCTTTTCATGCGCGAATCATGATGCACGTATTAACCATCCACAATTATTACGTATTAAAAAAATTATAAATTGAGCAGAATTAAAGATAAGAAAACTTTCGGGACTTTTACAGAAAATAAAGTATTCATTCTTTATTTGTCGAATAAAAACATTCACTACTCTTTGGTAATGAAATTTTAGTACGTTTCGCACTCCTGGCACTTGTAGATCCTTATCGATCACGAAGAGACGCGCGCACTTGTAAAATAAAACATTTATTAGGATAACGAGACTGAATTAATTAATCGATAGCGATTAAAAGATTAGGAACGATAGCAATGTAAAGAAACGGAAAGCAAAATAAGAGGGAGGAACAAAATATAAATAAATACTGTCTGAAACTTTTAGCGATCTAGCATCTAGCACCTACATCCGGTATCATGTATCAAACTGATTGTTCGCGATTTTTTTTTCCGTTTGGCTTGCGTTGGTCAAACGGGGTGTGCCTCGCGCAACCCTCTCATTGCGCATTGGTTTATGCAACAGTTGTTCACGTGTGACCTTTTTGATACGATATACAACCTTTCTCTCTTCCTCCGCAGAAAATTAACGATATGACGTGCTTTATCGCGCGACGTGCGCCGATACCGCTGAGTCTACTATCGCTGACGTAAGACCTCACCGGACTCAGGGCCCTTTCGAAGGCTCGAGGGTGTATCTCCTGCCCTCTTTCCCATGATTAACGAGAATTTTTCTGCTAATTTAATAACGGCCTGCTGTCGAATCGAGTTCATGGCAGACCATTTGTAAAACGGCGATTATCCCGAGTGGCGTCGAAGGTAACAGGAAGATAACGCTTGCAGCAGACATTGATATATGGCGTCGTTTAGCAATTAATCCTTTATTTCATCATTAAGTTACCAAAAAAAGTATTATTGTCGTATATATTTTGATAAAATTATGACAAGTTGATGGAGGCCATTTAAATATTATTCATATTATTTTCATTGTCATTTTTGGAGATTAAAAACGGCAAATATTAATTTTGGATTTTACATCACGAGACGTTTTTTTTTATTTATTTATATTGTTATTCTTTTTGTCCGTTTTGTTCCCTCTCTTTTTCTTATTTCGTCAGTCGCGAGACATATGATAGGTCGCCACAGAAAGGAACTGCAAGAGGTGAACTGGACGAAAAAATATCTTCACGTTTTTACGTAACACTGCAACCGAAAACCGTCACAGGGCCGTGCGACAGTGAAAGTTTCGCCACATATGAAACTTAAGATGCGCAAAAAAAGTATGTTGTATATCATATCAAGGGGTCAAATTGAGCAATCCTGATAGGCGGTACAATGCGTGTATTTAAATAATTGTATTACAATAAAATTACATTTATATTTGTATAATATCTGTAATAGCAGGATGTAATTCTAAGAACATTTAGAAAATATAAATATATAAATACACTTAAAGTTCACTTTATATTATATGTAAAAATATTATAAATATTTATTTGTTCAAGTTTTCTGTAATTGAAATAAATATATCTATACGTACATTTTTTTATATTTATTTCTCAAATATACTTGCTATATAATATACAAGATGGGACGTTTAAAACAAAATATCGAGATATTTTCATTGCATTTAAATATATATGTGAAAAGATGCTATTATTAAATATTAGTTAATGTAAAGATAGAAATATACTAATAAAAGAATGATCATGATCATTTTTGAGCTTTCAAGCTCATTAGCTTTTTCTTAATAATAGAACTATATATTTTTTAAATATCTATATTAAAAAGAATTTTAACATTTCCTAAACAACACGTATTGATTGGTCATAATAAATTTTTAAAACCATCAATCAATCTATTGTTCGTTCCTTCATATAAACATATGAATTCACACTCAACTTCAGAAATAAGTAATAAAAATTATATTACAAGTTTCGAGAAAATCAGTTTCTGATTTTTAATCAAGAAAAATCAGTTGCATATTAAGTAAGCATTATGTATATTACAATGCAATTTTCAAAAGAAGAAATCTTTTATGCGATATTTACTTATGGTGAAAGTGAACAGTGAGACGGACACATCGCTTGTATAATCAAAAATTTCTTGTTTGTGAACAACATTCACTTTTTATGTTTCGTAATGTAATAAAAGTATTTAAAGATACTCGCAACAATTATTGGAAGAAACGAATTTGCCAGAAAACAATGTATGTAAAAATAATAAAATTGGAATTCTAGCAGCTATGAATGTAAAACTATATGATAGCTTTAAATTGAAATTAACGAAAGTTAAGTTAAGTTAAGTGAAATTGAAATTAATAAAAAAAATATTTTGCAAATATTTCATAATCATAGCTTTCATCCCTATCATATCTATCTCGCATCAAAAAATATATAGTGCTAATTTTTATACTTGTGTTTATCATTATTGGTAATATGATTTTTACCAATAAAATTATTTTAAATATTTAATTATATTAAATAAATTTAAAAGGTTACCATTATTGATCTATTGACAATACTACACTGATTAAAAATAGTAAAAGTTTATAGAGATTAATGTTTACTGCAGAACAGTTCACAACCGCATTATTCAAAATTTAACATTATTAACAACAATCTTAGTTTAGCAAACGTAACGATTTTTCAGGTATATTGCTAGCATTACAAAGAAAAGAAATCACATTTTATACATCAATCATTTTAATCCCAAAAGGATTATTGTTCAGCGCATAATACCTTAAAAATAATATTAAGAAGTTTGATAACAATAAACACTAATGATGTTATTGAATATATTCTTAACATTTCTCACATTTTTCTAATTCAACTTCTTTCAAGATTTCTTGCAAAAATACTACGAGAATAAATTGATTGCGAGAGGTACTAGAACAATATTTACAAAAGACTTTTCACTAAATATGCTTAAACAATATTACAATACGAAAACATTCGCAACTTCATTTTTCACTATTTTATTATTATAGCATTAGTCAAAGAATATGACGGTCTTTCAGAGTTTTTTGAAGATCAATCGTGGCTTGTGGACAATACTTTGAATATCTTTTACTATGAATCACATGAAGGGAATAATAATAGATAAAATTCAATACTACAAAATATCATTTATATTAAAAATTTTTTACATGTTCTTTTACATTTTCTAAATGTATCATGTTAGATATCTTGTTATATATTTGTTATATATTTTGTTATATACTTGTTATATATTTTTAATTTAAATAAATAATATTTAAATCATATTCATATCGTTGAATTTATTTTAAAATCTTCTTTAATCTAAACATTAAATAAATATATAATTCTATTTAAGAAAAAACTTTAATAATTTTTAATAATTTTGAAAAAGCTTGAAAATGATATAAAAAAAAATAAGAATAATAATTTTTCTATTATTATATTTCCATCTTTCAATTGAGTCATTTTTATTAATGTTATTTTTTTATGCATTCAAACTCCAAAAAATATTCTCATGTTTCGTTGCGTGTTCTACTCTAGTGTCCTAATTCTAATGTTCTAATCTTAATATGGAGAAAATACTCGAGCACACTCGATACTGATCGCATAATGTATTATACCTCGAATATGTATGTAATATATGTATGTAATATTCGAATATGAAGAAAATATTGTAATCTATTTTGCGATATTCTTCCATATTCTTAGAATCTACATATGCAGTATATGAATATATTTAATATCTGCAAGATATAGATGTCATGCGATATTCAAGGGGATTATTTATATCGAATTCGGTTTGAGTTTAAGTTAAGTAAGTCTGAGTTGAGTAACTCATTGTCCAATTCAAATTGTGATCTCATCCATAAATAAACGAATAAAATAAAAAGATTGGATTAAGCGCTTATGAAATAATTACTTTAAAAATACGAGATTTATCTATAACTTCTTTTTAGTTTGGAAAAATAGACAAGATTAAGTGTAATTTTAATAGAAATGACTTTATACGAAAATTTCTGTTCTATTTTCAGTAAGAAAATTCAAATGACAAATGAAAAAAGTAAGAGATTTATCGATAATCAAATTACCTGATTGATTTCCTCCATTTTTTCAAATTCTCAACGTTTCCAATTCAATGTAACGAAATTAATAGAAGAAATCTGATAATTCCGCATCGTGGAATTCTTGGACTAAACGGAGTTTGTCCAAACGGAGTTTCATGAAGAGTGATAACGAAGTTCTTCTTTCGAGGGATTGATTGCTCGATTTTTAATTCCCACCGGCACAAATCGATCATCTAACAAAGAATTTTCGTGACGAGAGTCACACTAGAAAAATCGTTTTAGAAAGGCGTATTAGCCACGCGTACCTTTACCTTCTTGTTCGTCGTGTACTATCGCGCCGCTAACTGCTCTTACATCTCTATTTACGTGCGTGTAAATGTGTATAAGTGAGCGGGATATTATGTAGATGTGCCATACATATACATATACACATATGTAATATTCGTCTCGGTAAGATGCAATGCTGTGAGAAAAGCCTCCACCGGTATAAAAGGGGGTGTGTCTCGTGAGGTCCACATCAGTTTCAGTAGTGATCTCTGCATCGCCGCATCATTATCGCCACCATGAACGCTCTAGTGAGTAATCTTATATCCTTCCCCGAATTGAATAAAATCATTGTGTTACATTCAGGCGGGATATATTTTTCTAACTTCATGACTCATTTCCCGAAGAATAGTTTGCGGAGTTTGTCCGCCCTGCGAATAACCCCATCTTCAACACATGGTGCATTCACATGGTGCAACTTGTAAATTTCTTACAACATGTGGCATAAAAATTCTCATTGTAGAAGATTCTGGAAACGATTTTTAAGTGTGACACATGTCTCGTATACTTCTATGTTATTTTTTTTTTTTTTTTTTTTTTTTTTTTTTTTTAAATTCAATGCATGTATGACACATGATAAATAAAAATAAAAATATATTTTCTTCTCGCAAATTTAAATTACGAGTGATTCACCGATTATTCGCCGGGAAAATAAACCGCTACGATATACACACGTATTTAGCGTTACGTTATAAAAATACTTGAGTCGACACATTGCAGCTTGTATTAGCGATCCTCAGTCTGGCAATGCCCATTTACGGCGAGGAAAAGGCAGAGGTAGAGAAAAACAGGACAAACGAGGCGTAGTGGGTTTGGGATATGGCGGATACGCAGGATTAGGAAACGCCGTCGTGGGATCGGGTTATGCAGGTATTTTTTTTTTCCTTTGCATCACCGCCGCCTCCCGCGCGGACAGAATCCAGAATTCCATTTTCGATGGATTCGCAGAGAGAGAGAGAGAGGTCTCACGCGAGACGTCCTTTCCGATTTTTTTCAGGTTACGGGCAGGGTTACATCGGCGGCGCGACCTACTCCGCGGGTTACGGCATCGCCGCCGCACCCGCCGCCACCTACGGCTACAGCGCGCCGATTGTGTCCCACGGCTACGGCGCGCCGATAGCACCCGCGATTGTGTCCCACGGATACAGCGCGCCTCTGTACTCGTCGTCGTACCGCGTCGGTTACGCCGGCGGTCTGGGATACGGCGGCTCCAGCCTGGCAGGATACGGAGGACTTGGATACGGATACGGCGCAGGATTGGGATACCGCCGCGGTCTCGCCGCCAGCTACGCCGGCAACGGGTGGTGAAGATGCGAGCGGTGAAGATTTGCCCGGTCGTACACTCGACATGTCGCGAAATGTCAAGGTGACCCCCCCCCCCCTCCCCTCTCCTCTCCTCTCCTCCCCCCTCCTCTCCCCTTCGGTTTTTGTCTGTCTGACTTTATCCCTTCCCCGAAAACATTGGTCCCCGAGTTTTATATTTTGTGCGACTTTTAAATAAATCTTGATATTTTGTAATAATCCGCAGTGCCTTTTCTTATGCGTCCGTCCTTATGCGTGAGGGAGAACTGTTTATTGCACGAATATTTATCTCGGGAGTTAAAATAATCGATTTTTATAAAATAAAAAGTAGAGAAAATTGATCAAGTTACAGATCATTTAATCATGTGCTACGATATTTTTTTATAAAATTGAAAAATTTATAAAAAAATGGAGTTAAACAGTTCTTCTTCTGGAAAGATTCCAAATATAATTATCATATTAGATGGCTTCTTTTTACGAAAATGTTTATATCCGCAAATATATTTTTTATACTTCCTTTCTTCTTGTTTTTTTGAGCTGTTTGTAATATTTATAAAATACATTTCCATTATATTTTATTATTTTCTTGCACTTTTAATATCTAATTTCTTTTAATTCTTTGAGAGGCATATTTTTCTATCCGACGGATGTTTATTAATATATTGTGTCGATATATTTTTTGAATAAACAATAATAAGTCTGAAAATACATTTTAGAATTCAAACTTTTCACATATTTAAAATTCCTTATATAAAACTAGAGCTCATAAAATATTTTTAATAAATCATATATTATAAAATAAGATGTATTTAATATTTGTTAAAATTTATAGCTTTTTAGTTTTAATTTATTTAATTAATTTATGTGCGGTCCAATTAATTTAAAAAATTGCATTTCTCTATTCTAGTTTATTTACAATTAAAAATGTATTAATTAATTTATTAATCAATACATATAGCTGTTTGTTATTAAGAGTAATTATAGCCATCCACTGTAAAACGATCTTTAAACTGAGAACAATTTTGCAATTTTAATCACCTTATTTTCACAATTGTTATTTTTATCCTAAAATAACAGTGAAAAGGTCGTGGCAATAATTACTTTTATTTCTTCAAAATTTTAAATAGAACGAATAAGATAAATAGTAGCTTATTTGACATGCAGTTGAATGACCCAGATGTCTTTTGTCCAAGACGTCATGCAGAGTCATTTATCTCTCAGTCAGATTGTCAGAGGAAAGCTTGACGAAAACGGAAATACGTAAATGTAGCATAGTAGGAACATAAATGTAGCGTAAGAAAGAATGATAAAAGCGTCAATGTTGCTTTTTTATGTTTCGACGTTTAAATAATATAAATTCAAACATCGAAACATAAAAAGAAGTTTCCCTCTAATATATTTATCACTAGAAAGTCACGGTTTTATTTATCTCAAAAGTGCAACTTATTGGATGCGTAATTAATATATATTAATATATTAATATAACATATAATTAATATTGTTCTTTCAAAATTCAATTCCTGATTTACGAAATTAATAATCAAAATAATTTTTATTATTTACTTAATTTTAATTCTCCTTTCGACAAACTTTCGAATTACAACGTGAGGAAAAGATAACATATAGAAATAGCTACAATAAAAAACGGATAAATCTAAACATCAAATTAATTTATATATCTAATATATATATGCATATTTATAATTAAAGAGACATTAAAATGGGAAATATGAAATATACGTTTAGTTAGAAAACGTTATAGTTTTTGAAAAAACAGGCTGTATTAAAACAGGCTGTATAATATAGAAAAAAAACTATTAAATTTTATAGACAAAATATATTTTTGTATAAAAAAAATAAGCCAAAATTAAATTTAAAAATAAAAATTATGAAAAAATTAAATATAATTCGATTGGATTTGGTAAGTAAATTTCCTGCTTTATATATATTTCGATTCATATGATCGTCGTCTTCTCTCCGCCAGATGGCGACAACAAACAACACAAGATACCGCATTGAAGATAGCTTAATAACAACCTAGCGAGGTTAAGTTATTGAAAGAAGCATATTAGTTACATTGATCATGAATTTCCTAGCAAGAAGTGTTATAAATATAGCGAGAAATTGTATAGCAAACTCAATTCAAGGTATGATCATTGATCGTGATATAATATTATTGTTTTTTTGATAACCTAACTTTTACAACATAACTTCTGCATAAAAGAAATGTTTTCTATGAATCCTTTTCTAAATTTTTATCTTTATTTATGTTGTTTCTTATGAATTATTTTAGCTGTAAAAGAATATAATTCTATCATTTCGTTTGTTCATTTCGTTTATTTCATTTCAGGTTGCAACCTAACGAAGCTTTGTGAGAATAGCTACAGCCAAGGTAATTTTGCACAATACCAGTTTATTCAATAAAGAACTAAAATCGTATTCGTTATTAACAGGAAACATACTAAATGTCACAAGGACAAGCGTTAGTACAATATTACAAGGTAATAAAATTTTTATGTTTCTATACAAGTCGTAGAATTTTTTATTTATAATAGGAGATAGTTTTCTCGGTTTACATAGAAAATATTTTTCATGTAGATTGATTCATTTATTTTTCTCATAATTGTCAACTTGCTTCTAGTTGATCTATTAGTTCTATTGGAAACTATTTAATATTGAGAGAAATAATAAATTCATTTCTTTTTGATTTATTATTATTACTCATATATGCTCATATCATTGCTAGACAGTACCTATCAATCAGCATTACATAAATATAATTTTGTTTGTCTTTAATGTTCATCTTTTGACTGTTTCTCTTTTCTTGTTTTTCAAATTATTTATGGATGATATCTTTAGAGACCTTGTGCCTTAGAACCCATTTGCATAATTAGAAATAGGAAAGCAGAATTTATTAGCCAATCGGCAGGAAAACAGAATATTGTAGCAGAATATGACAGCTATTATGCAACTTTTAATTGATTGTAACCTGTTAGCTAACATTTATCAGTCGCATCACATTTTGAGATTTTGAAAAGATTTTGCTTTTTAATATCTACCTTTACATTTCAGTTATTCTGTAGTTTCTCTTTTATATTCGTTTCATCGTTTTACAAAGAGTGAGTTAGGTAATATCTTTAGAGATATCTTCTCTCTTTAGAGAGATCTTCCATGCCTTCTTTATTAGAAATAGAAAAGCAGAATATTGCAATAGAATAAAATGACAGCTGTTATAACAGCAAGTCTGATTGATTGAAATAAATTTTGTATTCTAATTTTTAATTCATATTTTAATGTGAATGCATCCTTATTTTAGTTAATCTAAAATAGCAAAAAGCATTTAGTATAGATTAATAAATGAAATTGGATTTATTATATATTTATATAACAATATAAACGCTATGTTTATAAATAATATACATTCACAAATGTTGTTCAAAATAATTAATTTTATTTAATTTCAATTGAGAACTTAAATCAGCTATTTAATTTTTAATAATTTATATCATATTTATAAAGTATTCTGAGAAGTCTTGGAACAATGAAGAAAATATATGCTGACATGGATAATAACGATAATTATAATATTTTTCTCAATAAATATATTTACTTCTACAGTTATGAATGATTCTCTAAAATGCCGATGGAAGGTGAAAAACTCTGTTGTCTGACGATAGGCGACAAAGATCAATGAGTGGTCATCCGAGTGCTAATATCGAGAGAAATATAAATTTCCATGATAATAAGATAGAATGAGAAAAGAATACAGAAGGAAACAATTTTTTTGAATTTTAAAGAGTTTGTTAACAATCTTACTCTGAACGAAATATTTATTTTATATATGTTTTATATATGTTTTTTTTTATTTCTGAATGATATTTTTGCGGTATCCTTTTTTATAAAAATTCAATTTTTGACTATTATGATGTTTAATTATTAAAGCTATTACGAAATAATGAAATAATTACATGATAAAAATTTATTTAATTTTTTTATTTAATAACTGTTAATGATATATAAATATTTAAGAGATAGATATAGATATTATGATTATTTAATGATTTTATTATTAAACTAAATTCGTATATCTTTAAATTATATGAAAAGCACGAAATTAGACGTAAATGAAAATATTTTGATTTCTATACAAAGGATATAGGTATAGGATATATTTTTTAAAAATAAAAGATCGAGATATAATCATAGGTGACCTATTTATATCGTGTGAAATGTTAGAAGCATCGCATTTCTTATAAACTAGAGCCGAATCTCTCTGAATCATCTGTAAACGTTTGTCGATATGTATCCTTTTTGCGATTTACTACTCGAATCTGGATTCTGCAAAGGAAATGGTTCGGAATTTTGAAGGAAAGCGGCTGAATTTTCGACACTTTTCCGCCACGAAAATACTCGCAGTCCTCACCTCTTTGATGTCATACAGATCTCGAAATCGGGGATGCGGTCACTTTGCAAGAAAGAAAGGGCTCGCTACGTAAAGATGGTGTGGTCACTACGAAAGTCGCACACAAGGGGATTGAAGGGTGTGACGTGTCCATTTGCGGTTGACCAGTTATAATGTGGGATTCTCGTATATTGTATTTTCGCCCTTTCCTCCCTTTTCTCGCGTCCCCAAAGAGAACACCCATCCATGAAGATTCATTCACGAGAACGTCCGTAAGAGCGTTCACAGATGCCTTATCAGAATTAGAGATCCCACGCATTTCGTTAACTTAATAATTCCGCACAGAATTTTCTTATATATATGTGCGTTTTGTATTATACGAATATTTTTATTTTTAATGTTTTTCACTTGCTTTCACTTCTGTGATTCGGGCTATTGAATTATTTCATATTAAATATCTTATATTATAAATTTCGCAGAAAAAAAATATTATGTAAATGCACAAAGAAGTAAAAACAGAATCGTAAATTATAATTAAAAAAAATTAATTTTTATTAAAAATTCAAGTCACAATACCGCTGAGTTTACCTCATTTTCATATGCTTTAGAATCTCGGATATTAAATGAAATTAAAATTAGTATTTGATATATCAATTTGACATATTAATTTATTGTTTTTTAATTATTCTCTCTGTTCTATCTCAAATATTACGACATATATGATTTGAAATGTGAATATGATTTTAAGTATGAAGGAAAGAAAAAGCTCTTTAAAAAGCTCCTTTCCCTGGTTTATATTTATAGCTATCTTGAATTACGATATAAAAATTCTTGCAAAATATGTTAAAATGGAAATATTTTTAAAATAAAATAATGTTTGCAATCTATAGAATAGATTTGCAAGATATACCGAAAATTCACTTTTGCTCCGGTAATCAATAAATAATTTTATATCTGAAGTTGAATATTCTTGTTTTTGATCTTGTTTTTGACTGGAGATCTATCGGATTACTTTGTAAGAAAAAAATTTGCATTGCGTAAAGAATGAAAAATAGTTGTAATTTATTTTACTAGAATTTCTCATCATATATTTTCTCACTTCTGATCTAAAGCTATATTCTAAATTATATCATCGAGATAGCAGTGGCCCTTTTTCTCTTTGAATGACCATACAGACAAACTTTAGCACAGATAGACAAACGAATCTAAACGATTTAAAATATAATCTTCGTGACAGTAACGATAATACGGAATTGAGAAATGGTAATGCTAAGGGACAACACAGGTCAATAACCCCCCCCCCCAATTCAACATTTTCGCTTCAGGATGAAAAGGGATACAGCCCTCACACCTAATAACTCGCCGCGCCGCAGTGAATGACCAAAAGAAGGGTTGTAGCGAAAAACTTCTACAGCAAGAAAATTGACCAATCACATTCAGTCATTCTTCTTACGGTCGAGGAATTTATCTAACAGATCACTCTTCTTAGGCAATTTTACTGCTTAAGTTCTTATGACGTTATTTTATTGTTCAAGTTCTATATGTTATGGATTTAAAGATAATCCTCGACTATAATACTAGACAGAGCATTTGAAAATCGCTAATTCTTCAGGTATCGAATACTAAAAAGAAGAGAAATAAATAAAAATAAGAAAAAGAAGAAAAATAGGCTCTCTCTCTCTCTCTCTCGCTCTCTATTAGTTGAATTTTAGTGAGAGAGAGAAAAAGAGAAGAATATTTGTACAAATTGGAAACATCTCAATGAGATGTAATTTTTAAGTATGTAACGCTATATCGTAAAGTTGAAATTATTATATATTATATTATTAATAAATAATTAATTAATAAATAATATATTAATAAATAATTATGGTTTCTACTTATTTATTACGTTTGAGAAGAAAACAAAATTGCTGATATACTCGAGCCGCTTTCGCATTACTGTTTCGATACGATGGTCTGTCCAATGTCAACGGTCAGAAAGTTTTGGAAAAATTTTTAGAAAAGAAAAAGCAAAGAATCACGTGATTCCTAAGATGCAATATGAAAGATTTTCGCAATGTAATCTTGCGCATCTATGGAATGAAGGGTTTGCCTTTCGTTCCTTTTGTTCGGTTCTTAGTGAAGGCTTGGTCAGGATTAGCTAGGTGCTTTCCCACATCTGTCGTATTGATGGACAGCGGTCATTTCAAAATGATCAACAATGATACTTTCCTTCGGTATACTTTAGATGGTCACACAATGTCACAAATTCAGCAGGCAGCTTTAAAAATTGTCACATCATTTATTTCATTTATTACGAAGACTCGTGACTGATCACTTTGTAACTTTCTTGTCGAGTATCTTTTTTGCCGACTGCATACTTGTTATTCGATTCTCGTTCTAGCTTTTTTGAAACAGTTTTGCGTAAGTTTGTCATATTACATACGTCCTTTCTTTCGAAAGAGATCAAACGTTTGTCAAACATATATCAATGTTGCGTACCAAAATCAAATAATTAATTTATCACAATGACAAAAAAATATGGAAAAGTAAAAAATTTAATATAATTATAAAATACCTAAATATATTTCGAAATATATTTATGATCAAAAACTGAACTATCAGATTTGTTATACTCTCTATATATAAAATTTAAAGTTTTGATAAGTTTTGGTGTATATATTTTTTTTTACGAGTTATATGAATTTTGAAAATGATATAGATTAAATTTTTAAAGATTGTGTTATAGAATATTTATGAATCTCAAATAATTTTATTACAATACATATCGAAATAACGAAAAAAATGCAAAAAAAAAAGCATATTTGAAGAGTTACATACCTGATGATACAATATAATTGACTTTTCAGTATTATTCAACGATTCTTCTATATTTGAGCAAAGTAAATTTTTTTAAAATATGATTATCATCCCTATTTGCTAACCATAAGAAGGTTTCTTTCTTTCCTTTCTTGGGTTCGCAAGAACTATTTACAATAGTTATCTTATTGGACTGTCTACCACAAATTTTTTCGGGTTCATCATCATAACAATCTTGAATACATTTCATTGGAATGCATTTTTTGTCTACATTACTTCTTCGGTTAGAATATCCTAATGATGTATCGTAATGATATTAATAACAGGTGGTGTTCCTTTGAATAGTAGTTTCAAAATTGTAGAAATTTATTTCGTGAAACAAACGATTAAAATCCATTAATTGGTATTTAAAATTAAAAGTGTATAGAAAATTGTATAAAAGTTGCATACTTTTTTTATATAGCCATACATATATATAACCGATGACAATTCTATTTACGCGAATGACCGCATAATTATTGATATTGACGCAGGATTGGCACAGATCAGATTCGCAAGCTCGTTAATGCAAATGCACAGAAGAGGTGGGCCATACAAAAAGCGCAAACCTTCGAAGAATCCTTTGGATGGTGCGCCGTTTTTGAAGGGTGTAATCTTGAAAACTATCATCAAAAAACCAAAGAAGCCCAATTCCGCGAATCGAAAGTGCGTCGTTGTGAGATTATCAAATGGCAAAGAAATGACGGCGTATGTGCCCGGTAAGATTTGTAATTCAGGCTTGCTATTTCAGATTTGCAATACTGCATTCGAGTTACTCGTGAGAAATTAGTCACCAGAAGAAACTGAAATTGTTTAGATAATTTAGATTGTATTGTATTGTTTCAGGAATTGGCCACAATCTGCAGGAACACAATATCGTCCTCTGCAGGAATGGACGTCTGCGAGATACACCTGGCGTTAAAATAAAATGCGTGCGTGGCAAATACGATTTGCCGCATGTATCTAAGCGCGAATAATTTATAATTTTTAATTGTCATCAATGCTAGTCTGAATTGATGAAATTTCTGTAAAAAAAAGCAACTGTCATTATTGTGTATACTTGGTTAATTATGTACAGCTCTATTGATAAAATAATAATTCATTTCTTAAAAATCCACATCTCCTTATTCCTAAAAATAACTCGTTATAACATCATCAAATGTAATGTGGATATGTATTCCTGATAAAAATATAATGAAGAAATGATCTTTATTAATCTACTCATCGGGAATTTTAGACTTTAGAAATAATTTATGTATTTGATAATAAAATTGTTATAAAAGTATTTTTGGAATAAAAAAAGATCATATCGAGGAAGTGGTAGTATTTGTGAGAAATGTTTTAAATCGTTTATTACGATTTTTTAATGAACATCAAAGATGTTATTGAGATCGCAACGATCGATACATTTCTATTTCTATTTCGCATAATCGATCAAAGTAATGCCTGCGCGAATGGAAAGTAATTTTCGGGACGTCACGTTTTCGAGATTAGTTCTGGGAAGGTTCTGACGGTCTTTTGACACACTTTTAGAATTCTACCGTGCATTTACCGTTACCTGGTTCGCATGGTCCTCATTGTAACGGTGTGTTCTCTGTATTCTCCAATACAAAGCAAAAAGGATTGTGACACAGCCTACCCTTTCGATATTATTATGGAGGGTTGGTCTGGCGCATCTGCAATCTTTACTCGCCCACGCGGCCACTGGCTAGCGACCATATGACATGCTGACCAATATCTCGATATTTGGATTTGGAGGCCGGCTCTCAACCTGAATTTGAATTTGTAAACAAAGAAATGTCTTTGCATAAATCTTTTCGCGTATGTATAAAACGATTTAAAATTACATTTTTTCTGTCCAGTTGAGCTTACATTATTAAAGACAAAGTAATTCTCTCTAATGTTGTAAATATAGATCTTTTTATGTATATAAATATTAAATACTGAAATTATTTAGAAAATTTGCAAGTATGATTTTTCGTTCTTTGTTTTCTTTTTTTTTTTATTTTAGATATTTTCAATTAGATGTGTGAATGAGAACCTATTATGGAATATATTTATTCCAAGAGTTGCTATCTTAGGGGAAGCTAGCTAGCGCCACGAGGCATTTGTATACATAATGTTTTATTAAACTTTCGTGATATATGTTCCTTTTATTTTGTGTAAAAATACAGTCGTTTATATCATCGCATTGTTGATATTTGCTCAGAAATTATTTGATATTTATTCAGAAATTTATTAAATTACTAATGAAATTTTTAAGACTAAAGGATCATAAAAATAATTGTTAAAGATCTTCATATTTTCAATTTTTATTTTATTTTAATTTACATCAGTTAGAGATATAACTTCGATTTGATGTTGGAAACATTTTTCTGTTAACGAACATTAATTGCACAGACTTGCGAAATTAAGAATGTTATTTGACAGTGGTATAGGTGATTTGCTACATAAGTATGCCGAATATAAGTCTGACATAGAATTGTCTATCATACCAAGATGTCTATTATATCAAGATAAATGGACTTTTTACCTCATTTATTTCAAAAAACCTGACATGGCAATTTCTTTAAGGTCAAATTTGTATTCAGCATTACAAAATTACACAAGAATTCTCAGCTTCAAAAAAACATCATAGATCTGTTATTTTTCATATTTTACATCATTAATCATTTTACTTGAGCCTCTTTTCAAGGTTGCATGTCAAATCACAGAGAAATTGTATGAATATGCTTATTTCTATAAAATTTCTAAAAAAATAAATGTAAAAAATGATATGCCTTTCAAACTATGCTAACAATAGCGAAAATTTATGATTTATCTATATGCGTATATGTAAAATTTTCTGTTTTTTGACACAAAAGTTCCGTGGATTTATTTATCAACTTAGTATACTTTTATACCACTTTTTCTTTTGAACGTCTAATTTTCTTTCCTTTGATACTGAAACTGTATCCTATCTAGAACAAACACAGGATGACGGTCGACTTGTCGATTATTAACAAAGGTTGTATAGCATTTATTTTTTATAACAAAGAAATTTTTATAACAAAGAAAATCTGTAATATAATAAAAAAATTTAGAGTTTTCATTAGATGACTATTCTTAAATTGGATCATGTGATCGAAAAGAAAATAGCTGCATCCATTCTAATTAGGATATATTTCATTAGGATATTTGTTTGATGTAGATATTTCTAATATCTAGATATTTCTAATTCATGATATATATTTAAATTGACTTTAGCATATACATCTTCAGATAAAATAATACATAATACTTATTAAAAATAATGGTTATCTTATATATTTTAATACAGATATTAAAATTCCAAATTAGAACTATAAAATCATTATTAGGGAGGTTTATTTGACAATCTGTATAGATAATGATAAGAAAGTAAAAAAAATCAAATATCAGAAGAAAATTTTGATAAAGACTAGAATAAATATATTTTGAATATTATTTGCGTATATTATCAAAAATAAACATTCTTAATGACTTTCGATAAGAAGAATAGAGTCAGAAATGTACATCATTAAAAATAAAGATTATAATAGCCTAAATATACGTCATAATAGACTATTCAGAAGGCTATGAAATAGAAAATCTCGCTTGCAACATCATTATATGACGCAATTCTAGCAATTCTAGTTAATTTCTTAATAGTGTTCTTAATGTGATAGATAATAATATAAAGCCATCATTTTAATTGCCTCGATCTCTTGTCTCAGTAAACATTTATTGACGTGAATCACTAAGCGATCGAAACTTTGCATAAGTAGAGGCATTTTTATCTCCGAGGACATGTTTAAATTAAAATTCTGGTGAAAATGTTTCAAGCATGGGTGCGCACAAAGAATCTTCTGGTACGGTCGTCGAGCTGATTCAACAACGGTAACAAAATCGAAAGAAAGTTTACAATACTTGAGTCGTCAAATGACCAACGGTGCTCTCAAAAGCCTCTCAAACAAATGGCGAGCAAACACTTTTCGTGCTGTTGTACGATCGTGTCTTAACTCTTTGCCGCTCGGCTTAGTAACCGGATACCATGCGATCTTTGAAAAATACAGCTTTGAAAAAGTGATAATATGCCAGAATTGTCAGAGTTGGCATTTTCTTCCCGTAAAGGAGACGTATTTCTCTTTATGCCATATGTGTGTACAGCTGTACTTCATTATTGTGTGTGTGTGTGTGTGTGTGTGTGTGTGTGTGTGTGTGTGTGTGTGTGTGTGTGTGTGTGTGTGTGTGTGTGTGTGTGTGCGCGCACGTATTACATATTACATATATGTAATAAAATTAATATATTCCATTTATAAAATTAATATCTCTCAATGTTAACGACTGATTTAATTTTGCACATGGGCGTGTATATGGTGATACAATATCGCCATCATTTTTTTGTGAAAATATACATATGTATATATATATATATACTATTTTACATCACGCATATTTGTGAAATTTTAAGAGAAACAAAGAAATGATATCTGATAATAGGCACTTTTCATTTATACAACTTGTTTGAATGTTTATTTTCAAATTATTGTTTAAATGCAATTTTATTGAAAAAAAAAAGCTTGCTTTATCCGATACAGAAAATTATGGTGTATGTATAAACCCATATGCACAAACCCTAGGATAATTGCCGGTACAATCGTGGATACGATATTTAAAAATTATTGAAAAATTAGTGAATTCTCTTGAGAAAAATTAAAATTCTTCATAGAAAATAAAAAATTTTTAATTGAACGGGATTTCATAAATTTATAAATATATTATATAACTTTATTCGTGTATTCAGCGTTGTTAGCGTTGAAGGGCTCAAGAAAATATGATGTTCATTTTAGATGTCCGTTCTTGCTTTATGGTTCTACCACTTGTAAAGTGAACTTTCAAAGAAACTATCAGTGTCAACGGTGCATCTGGCTATTCACAATCCGCTAATCCAGACATTTCGAGGAAAGTGATGGGGTTGCGGTCGATCCGATACCGTTAAGATGTGCCCGTTTTGTATCTGTGAGCGTGCGACAGATGCAAATAATGCATTCATCGGTCGCCGGGAAACCAGCGATCACGGGAAAAATCGCAAATAACGGGTTGCGACGGGTCTCGCGGACACCACCATAGAAATGTGGGTTATGCAGCCAAAAGAGCAGCAAAAATTTGTATACACAAGAAAGGAGGCGGTGCAGTGAATTGAGCACTGGGGGTGCTTTTCTATGGAATGACAAGGTTCAATCGGGACCCGGAACGGACGACTAAATTTGGCGTGATCGCGAGGCACCGACATAATGAGGCATCGTCTTGTATCGGGAATAACTGCTCCTTCGCGTTGACAATTTTCATTTCGATTTTATTGTACTTCTGTCAGTCCCCCTTTTTTAATAATTAAATGCAAGAACAGCGAATAGCACATCCAAGTGGATGTGTTAAAAAATGCCTTTACCAACGTATGGCTTCGAAAATACAATCGTTTTCCATAAAGAAATGGCATGTGGCATGTGAATACGTTCTGAATCTAAAGTTTTTACCGGTTTGCAATTTTTTTCACTCTCATTTACTGTTTTAACGTTTATAATTGCTGCAAAATAGTTGCTCCTATTGATATAATCGATAATCGACTTTAAAATATAAGATTTTTTTTGTGAAAATAGATAAGATTTATTCTTTTCTGTGATTCTGATTTTAGAAGAGACAGAGATTCAGATATATATTTTTTTAGAATAGAGCGGGGTTTTCTCATTCACAAGCCAAAGCGATAATGTTCATGTTTCTGAACATATATAATAATTCAATATTTAAAAATCATAGTTACTTTCAAGAAACAATTGTGTTCGTATAACGTAATTGTAGGCACGTTATTGTAAAGAAGTATGTTATTTTTCTGCAAATTTTTACATCGTTTTAAAATTGCAATTCACGGAATAGCTTACATAAAATAATATAAAATTCTGACATGGAAATAATATTAGCGATGTATATTGATGTCTAGTTTATAATAAATTTCATATACTATAAATAAATTCTATAACTTTTATTATTGTAACACAAGAAAAAATTTTCTATGAAAAATCTATATCTAATTTTATCTGATAATTTTTGATTAATTTGTAGTTTAGAATAAAATCAAAACAGAATTCATTTAGTCAGTTGTTAGATATATATTTTTATTGCTCTTTTGGAAAACAACATTTCAAAATTCACAAATTTCTTTTGAAAAAGAACTATTTCAATATTTCATATTTCAAAAGAACCTTTGATAACTATACAAGATTTCAATTATATTTTACGTAAATCATGCTAAAGAAAAAAATGTATTTGTTCATTTTAAAAGAACACTAGATTTATAATTTAAACAGGCAAAAATATTTTTAATGTTCTATATGCTCAATGTTATTTTCATGTTGTAAAGCTACTTTTAAGTGCACTTGTTTTATTTTATATTTGCAATTTTTTAATACCATTTTTAATATTCTATTATTTATTATTTATTTTTATCTATTAATTATCGAAGCAAGAGAAAAGCTTTTGGTATATTTTACAAATCCATTTTATCGAGTGCAAACTGTTTACTCTATTGAAAAATATTTTCATTTTAATATTTGGCAAAAATTTGTATTTTCTCCCTTCTGATGTCATCAATTTAGTTATAATAAGTCGGCAGCAATCTTAATGGACTTGTTATATTCCTTTTTTCAATGTCTTGTGAGAACAATTCGTCAATATCACGTTTCATAATCCCTGTAGTCAATTGTAACCGATAAGGATTGCATCTATCGTAATCAGTGGTATCAATATAATAATGATAATAACTTTCTGTGCATTACTGTTTCGTTATACGTATTATATCTCGGAATATAAATATCTCTCTTTCTCTCCCTAAATCTCCTAAATGAAAATAAATTAGGTAAAAAAAAAAATATTGAGCAATAATATAAAATATTATATGATAACAAAAAGTTATGTGAACGTTTCAATGACCTCATCTCGATGTCACCGAATTGCTTCAACAATTTTGAAAATGATCGACTATTCGATGGGCACGTGCCCATTTCGGTATTTCTGACCAACAGATTATAGGGTTTCCCCACTACTTTTCCTAAGAAAAACGCCTCCATCGGCTAGGGCCTTAAGGGTGGGATCTAAAGCGTTTTCAATTTGGACATCGTCTAGTCAAATTTAGGGTTTCACTCAGTCAACGTCGTGTACAAGTGCGTGAAACGCCAATATCTCTTTTGACTTTCTTCATTTTATGACATAAGTACGTAAGAAAGTAATCGCGAGCGTAATAATCGAATATAATAAACGACAGTATTATCGCCGACAGTGTTGTGCTACCAGTGGTTTCGGTGTAACCTTGGATTATTAGGTAAGCGTATTTACAAATTGTATGATAGAATTCCATCGGATGTTAGCGATATTTCTACTTTTTTAAAAATTTGGATTTTTAAAATTTTCAAAATTCTCGCGTGATTACAAACATATTATATATCATCAATATTATATATCAAATTCACTCATCGATACATTTAAAAAAGTAAAAAATGATCTTGACATTTTGCGCATAAATTTTCTCAATAGCTTTAAATTGTTCTATAATAAAATAAAATATTTTTTAACATATTAAACCATCAACAAAATGTTCTAAATTCAAATTAAGTTTAATTATTTATTTCGAGACGTATGAGAAAAGAAATTATTATTCTTATAAATTTCTAAATTTACTTGACACTGAATAGTTCGTCTGAGTCTTTATTATGATCTTTATTTTTTACGATTACACGCTATCTTATTATCACTTGATATTGTGTACATTTTTAAGTAATCATATATATCTCATATATTTATATATATATGTTATGTTCTATTATTTTTACATTGCATGAATAATTCTAAGACATGTATTTAATGAGTTCAAATCAGTCATTGATGTCTAAGTTGATATGCAGCGCGCACATTAATTGTGATTAATTTAATTTATTTTGTATAAGTTCTTTCCATAAGTCTTCACTACGTCTTCTTCTTAAGCGATCTTCAATTACTGATTAGCTCGAGAAGAAGGCATAAATTGAGTGAAAATATATCAACAATACGCGTGACATGCACGTGGTCTCTAAGCGGTAAATTTAGCAGGTAGCGTGTACATGTGAAATCGAATGGTGAATGGTTGCGTAATGAATGTATTGCGATTAATAAAGTTACTTAACGCATTTATTGGTTTTCATTGCGGGAATGTTAAAAGCAAATTCAAAAAAATTTGTCAAAATTTTCGAACGATTCAAAGTAGAAATTTTAAAACTTTAAATCTGAATTGATAATTTGAGCTATTTTATATTTTATTATTATATGTTGTATTATTTTAATGTCGCATTATTTTGAAAAATAATATGAAGAATTTGTCAGTTTGATGCAATATTTAATTATTTTTTATTTTAAAAACAAAATTTCGTTGCAACTGAAAAATTGCGTTAGTAACTGAATTGATTGAATTTGAATTATGAAATGGATTGGGATTTTATCTCAAAAAGATTTGATAAATTATACACTAATAATGGATATTTTTGCATTTTTTACGTTGATTTTCTCAATTATAAAATTATATTGTACTCTTATTGCAGATAGCTGCAAATGAAGATGGAGAATACCACAAATAATTATACGCAAAATAATCAAAGTCCTTATTTCATTCTTGAGGAAACGGATAATAAATACTCAGACTCAGACTCGATTCTAGATTTATCACAAAAAAATCCGACTGATAATGCAAATCAAGAAATAGCCATTGATTTATCATCACGTTCTTATGGAAGCAAAAAGCGATGTGTAGAACCAAATGATTTGGATGGTAGACCTATCGAAAATATCGCCGTATCGTCCCAATATTCCGAGTTGGACTCGTCAAAAGCACAGACAAAAGCTGTATCGTCACCTGAAGATATCGAGTGCTTTAACTATATTGAGACATTATTTAAATGTTCATCAGGCATAATGTTGCCGTCACATCTAAATAGAGCTCAAACGATAGTAACAACTCCGGCAATCCATCTACCATATACGGATACAGCGCAGACTATTCCGAAAAATGAGATTAACGGACAAACCCCGGGAACGATGCCAATAGAATTTCCAACGTCTACGAATGTGATATTGCCATCGTCAACATCTACGAATGTGATATTGCCATCGTCAACATCTACGAATATGATACTGCCATCATCAACATCTACGAATACGATATTGCCAACATTGGACATGGTGAAAAAGGCATCGAGACCTTTTAAAGCCTATCCGAAGGATCTCCTTTCCACCCAAGACTCGAATAAGGAATATGTAAAGTTTCGGGCAAAGGTGCTCGAGAAAGTTAGAAAGAACAAAAGCACATCAAATCCTAGAATGCGCCGAGTGTCCAGCAGTCCTGGACTGCCTACTAGCACCGTCGACGAGAAGGACGCTGCATATTGGGAAAGAAGAAAAAAAAATAATGAAGCAGCCAAACGTTCCAGAGATGCTCGAAAATTAAAAGAAGACGAACTTGCAATCCGAGCGGCTTTCCTTGAACAGGAGAATCGAGAGCTCAAAACTTTATTAGCTAAGTATGTTCAGATGGTTCATTCGCTCTACAACCATTAGGCTAATTTGATAAATTGTGAATCATTATGTGATAATAACGTATGATAAAATAACGAAGAGTTCTCGTGGTATATAAATTTTCTAATTGCAAAAAATATTTATATGTTTACTATAAATATAATTTATATATATTTGAAATATTTATGTAATACATTCAGTATATAATATATAGTTTGTACATATATATATTTATATAGTGTGTTACTATATTACACATATAATCAGTCTCATCTACGTGGTCTCATCTTCCTGGTAAACATCCTTTATTAAACGTAATTTTTTTTGAGACTTTATGTATCTTCATTCTATAAAAATTATTTAACATCGAATGGCTGCGATTGAAATTTCCAAACTTGTATACTATACATATGCACAAACTATATTATATACTATATATATTGCTATATATGTATATGTATAATATATGTATATAATATATGCTATATATATATATATATATATATATATATATACACTATATACTA